TGAAGGGGAAAAAAACAGGTCTACAGGCAGGAAATAAACTTGCTATGTTAGGGCCTGTTCACAGCAGAACGAGGTGTTAGAAACCTGTGTTCCTGCACCACATTCAAAATGCACCGCCCTTGCGATCTGCTCTGGGTGTCAATGCAATGCTAACGTACTGCACTCAAATCACACAGGAACATCGCACAGGAACGCAAGCGATTCCTGGGATGAACAGGCATTTAATGCTAGCATGTGCATCATATGTATATTTTTTTTTGCCTGTGTATATACACTTTAAAGCAGGGAGATTGTTAATGGTTTACCAGATATAGAATATCTTTGATGTACAACTGATACACAGCGGTGGAGGAAGTGAAGGGTCAATGTATAGGTCACATACCGTGGGAGGATGAAGATGCGGGGTTAACGTGCAGGATAAAGCAGGCCATACATTAGGCAATTCTCTTTATTGAAGCCATGGGTTGCAGGAAAGAAAACTGCTCAATTCCCCCATCAACACATTCAGTGAAATCCTTCCTGCAGAGCTTTTGTATTCTGACAGTGGGAGGTTTCCCAGTCATCAGAATACAGGGATCACTGCCAGCTGCTATAGCTGCTGGCAGTGATTGAACGAAGAAAACCTGACAGGCTGGTTGTACTGAAGTTGATTGATGAATCGACTTCAGTACAAACAGCTTGCTTATCCATGGATCAAAATTTGTCCAGTCCCTGCTGATCTGGACAAATTTTGATCCATCTATGACTGGCTTAACCACTTGCCCTCCAGAGGATTTAGACCCCTTCCTGACCAGGCCATTTTTTGAGTTATGGCGCTACGTTACTTTAAATGACAATTGCGTGGTCATGCAATGCTGCACCCAAATTAAATTTACAACCTTATTTCCCCCCACAAATAGAGCTTTCTTTTTGTGGTATTTAATTGCCTGTGCGGTTTTTATTTTTTGTGCTATTAACAAAAAAAGACCAACAGTTTTGAGGAAAAAAAACACAATTATTTTGACTTTTTACTATCAAACATGTTCAGTAAAAATATTTAAAAAATAAAATTTCGTCATAAATGTATGTCAAAATGTATTCTGCTACATGTCTTTGCTAAAAAAAATCCCAATATGTGTAAATTAATTGGTTTACGTGAAAGTTATAGAGTTTACAAACGGTGGTATATATATATTTAAAACATTTTTTTTTTTACTAGTAATGGCGGCGATCAGCGACTTATAGCGGGACTGCAGGACTGCAGCGGGCATTCTGACACTTGGGGGAACTGACTTGGTGTCACTGACATCCCCAGTGACACCAATACAGTGATCAGTGCTAATAAAATGGCACATTAAGCAGGAATAGATTAACTTCTGGGGCGATCAAAGGGTTAACTTTAAGCGGTTTCACTACTTGGCTGTGTGTGTGCTTCACTGTAAGCACACTGTTTTGTATGGCTCTGCATAAGCAGTGTGCAGGAGCTGACAAAGGAGAGATCTGTGTTGTTTATATACAGGTCACTCTCCCATTGGAGATACTCGGCGATCACTGGGTGCTACCTATTTATAGGTAAAGTTGATCCAGGGAATATCTGATTGCCTCTCGGGGGATCAGGAAGGAATTTTTTCCCCTGCAGGGGCAATTTGGATCATGTTTTGCTGGGTTTTTTGCCTTCCTCTGGATCAACTGTGGGTATAGGATTATAACTTTTTTTTTTTTTTTAATGGTTGAACTGGATGGACTTTTGTCTCTTTTCAGCCAGACTAACTACAGTATGTAACTATGTAAATCTTCAGTTGAAATGGAACCCAAACATCAAATATTTCCTGGAACTAGAAGGCTGACAGATGTCCTTCCATGGTGACAAGTTGAACTATTTCTTTCCATCTATTGGTTTTTTCCCTATTTAAATATTTCTATCATTTTAATACACAGCCAAGTTTTTGATGTTCATAAAAAGGCAGTCATCACAAACTAAGCACCAATAATACATTTATTATTTACAGGAGATGAACATAGTGGAACAAACATTACAAAGATGAACAAAAATAAAACAAACTGCAGCAGATAAGAAGGGACAGAGAGTAAGCACCTAAACCAGATTCGGACATGGAAATTGTGATTTAAATGCTGAACCAAGCAAGACACCCAGGAAGGGGTGTATGGACGAGGTGACTCCTCAAAACCCATTAGTGTGAACAGAGTACAGGTAAATAGTGTCCATTGGTGGCCATCAGTTAAAAGGATCTCACTTGTGCTCTCTTCCCCTCTTCTGATAGGCAGACGGCATATAAACTCCTGAGATAGAATGAGTGAACAGGTTGGAATGAAGAGAGATTGTACAGCGGCTATGGGGTGTACCGGCAAGTGGAAAGTTTGTACAGATAACCACGTCCCCACTCTCCTCTCATTACAAATCTTTGTAACCCCTACCCTACTGGTGCAGAGACTGACTGATTTGTATATAAGGACTCGCTCGGCTGCTCCTACGCCTCGCTGATTTCGGCGTCTGTGGCTCCGTTGTGCTGAGGCTCTTCTGTGGATGTTGCGTCTCTCATCTCTACATCAGTGGTGGCTAGAGACTGCTCTTTGGATGCTTTAGGAGACTCCTACATTAGGAAATAATTAAAATTTAAGATAACCTATCATCATGTAAAAAACAATTAGGTAGGTGCACAGAAAAGTCAAGTATTTTAATGCGATTCCCTAGCGAAGCCCCCTTCACTCCTTGCAAGATAGCTCTTTCCTCTTCTGGGAGTGTCTAATCACTGTCAGTGCTGGCCCAGATCCTCTGTCCCTTTCCAACCTACATAACCTTTTACGTAGCTGCAAGGGCTGGGGTAAAGGCGAATACAGAGCAGAGCAAGGACAGGCAACCTTGGCACTGCAACTGTTGAGGAACTGCAAGTCCCATGGCATTACAAGCCTGACAGCCAACAGCATGGCTTCAAGAGGCAGAGGTATTTGTAGTTTCACCACAAGAGTGTTGAGCTTGCATACCCCTGCTATAGACTGTCACTTTAATGACAGCTCTGGATCTGCTGAGATCACATCCAAGATGGCGGCTCCCAGAAATGGAGTACACAAGGGAAGCTTTTACAGGTTAATAACATGCCTAAGAAATGGAAATATAATCTTTTGGGTAGGTTTATGTTGAAATTAATAGCCTGGTGACAGGGTCTTTTTAACTGCTTCCCTACCGGCTACACGTCCTAGTAGGGAAGCAGTTATAACAGGATCACAGTTGAGGCTACAACCATGATCCCAGTATCAATTGAAAGCCCCGATTGGCTTTCAGGTAAAAGTAATCCAAGCGGCTAAGCAGCTGCTGGATTACTTTTATGAGTGGTGGAAAGGAATCCCACCCCTCCTACCGCCGCCGTCTTTACTGGGCTCTCCTGAGCAACTGAAGAGCCTGGTAAGGATGTGACCAGCAGCATCTTAAGCCTGACACACAGTGAGAGGAACTGAAGTTGTTCCACCCACTGTGTGACATCAGAATCCGACGATTATGTCACTTCCGGTTCAAGCTCTTTGCTTACTGTTTGGTTACTGGCCAGCGAAGCAGTGGATCAGACCAATATGTAAACAGTGATCACACCATACATGTGAGATATCACTGCAGACATCAGAGCAAGAGGAATAAGTCTAGCACCAGACCTCCTGTGTAAATCTAAACTGGTAACCTGTAAAGGCTTTTAAAGTGTTGCCTATGGATAATTTAAAAGAGAAGTAAGCAATTTCCATATTTTTTTTAAAATACTTACCTAGGTGGATGCAGCATCAGTTCCCCGATGGCTCTAAGTGTGAGAACTCGGCGATGAGCAGAGAGCGGTGACTGTTAGTTACCGCTGTCTGCTCTGCCCCCCCTTTCCCCATGCCCACTGGAGTGCTGGGCTGTGGAAGGGGATGGAGCGACTGGCTCAGGCTTTCAGCACCTCGCTGAGAGGCTGAGCCGGGTGCCGCTCTAGACTCTGGGGTGGATCCTGACTTTATAGTTGTGATCTTTCCCTAGCCTGGACCGGCTGAGTGACATCAGCTGAAAACTGATCACAGGAGAGGAGAACGAACTGCATTCCTCTGTTCCACAGGACAAGTACAGCCAAAAAAGCTTTAGCTGTACTTCTCCTTTAAAGTACCATAGTTTGTAGCCATTCCATGAGCGAGCACAATTTTAAAGTGTGACGTGTTTGGTATCTATTTGCTTGGTGTAACATTATCTTTTATATTTTACAAACTATATGGTATTATATTGTGTTTGTGCTCACTAAAATGTACTAATGTCTATTTTTTCCCCAAAAATTGTGTTTGAAAACAGCTGCACAATTACCATGTGACAAAAATTGCAACACCCATCATTTTATTATCTAGGGTCTTTGCTTAACAAAAAAAAAAGAAAAAGATATTTATATTTATACACATGTGGGGGTTCTAAGTAATTTTCTAGCAAAAAAAAAAAAGATAAATTTTACATTTCTACATCAGAAGTGTCAGAATAGGCATGGGAAGCAAGTGATTAATATGTATATCCTGTCAAAAAATGTTTGTTTTAGTCTTGGATACAGTGAGAAAGATTAGAATCACAGTCAGGTTTTTATTGCGGTCTGAGACTCTGTTTTGGAAAATTTCCAACACTCCTTTTCCTGCTGAAAATGTTTTACCAGAAAGGAAGTGAAGGAACTATTTAATAGCATCACAGGCAGAAATAAAACACTTTTCTTTAGTGGAGTAGGGAAGGCTAGAACCCCTGTGAGAGTTTTATTTTGGTCTATGTCCCTGTTGCAGATTTTCCCCTCATTTCCTGTCTGGTAAGACACGGTGAACCACGCAAGGAAGTGATGGGAAATCCCATTATTGGGGCTCCTGATGGCAGTAAAAACACATCAGGGGTTTTGAATTCTTCCACAATATGACATACACATCGAGACAAATAGTAAAACAATAATGCTTGACTGCTAATGCTTTTAAATTGTGTTTTTTTTCTCTTTAGACCCATCCAATTTCCCCTTTGAATCTCTTTAAAGGAATACTTTTTCACTTAAAATGTTTCCCTCCAACCGCAATGCCCGCTCTCTCACCTTTTCCTCTTTCTCTGCCAGCCTCTGGAACATGTTGGCATAGATCTTCTTTTCCCGCTGGTGTTGCTCCCTGATACGCTGCTGGCACTGGGCGATCTGCGTTCGCGCTGCCTTGTTATTGGGGTAAAGCTGGATCACCTTAGCGAAGTCATCCCTTGCTAGCTCATGTTCATTCACTCCCATGTAGGATTCGCCCCGGCGGAACAATCCTTTCTCGTTGTTGGGTTCAAATTCTAGTGCCTGAAGGGGACACAAATACATTATTAAAGCTGTACTCCAGCCTTCCCTTCAGTCTTGCACAATCATACAGGCTCCTCTTCTGTACTGAAATTGCTTACTCTGATTTCACCGCACACTGTGATCTTCCCACAGTGTGCATTTAAAAATGCAGCAAGTCAGATAGAGCTTGCCTCAAACCTGCCTTGGAGGATGTCTAGCATTATATAGCCCTTTCCGCCCCTCCCACCTGGCTGTCCCTAGCATGCCCCTTTCAGTCAATGGATTTCAGTTCTTTCAATCACAGAGGCACAGCATTGCATGTGGACGTTATCCAAGGTGATCTGCATGCACATGAAGCCTGCCTAGGAATGTCCACTCCTCCAGACTGACATCCACCCACCCATGCATTGTGACATTTGCATCTGCTTGCAACAGGGCTGAGGTTTCTTGAGAGTTAGTGTGCTTTGTTGTTTTCAGGAAGCTATGTAATGCACCTTGACAGACCCTCCCACCAACCCTGGTCTGCCTACACTGCACAGAGAAACACAGAGACCCAGTAATGACATTGGTGGGACTAAAAAAAAAAAAGTATGTTAGGTCCATGAATGCTAAGTAATGCGTCAGTGTAACACTTCCAGATATGTACTATCCCTGACAATGCCTTCATCTATTCTTCATTCCAGACGGTTGGAGTAATCTTTGCTCAGGCATCATCCAGGGCCATCATTTACTTCCTGGACTAAAATGCCAGCTCAGACGCCCAGTGGATGTGCTGTATTGCAAAATGTTTAGTTGCACTTGATATCATTCATGCTTTTACACTCTGTTCTTTACTATGTACCCCTTGTGTGGGTGATCAGTTGTCATGTCATCTTGTGTGCAACAAGAAAAACTAGAAAACTACAATTTCTGGGGAAATTGTGTGAGGTGTTCTTGCCTCCACTAGTAGTCTACAACTGGAGTGGGCGGAGTAACTGGGTGGAGTGGCTTGTCACTCTGCTGCCTGCTCACACACCTGGGTTCCTATGGCAACTCACTCTACAGCAAGGGCAGAGAAGAGCGGTTAAAAACAAACTGCTCCAACTTGCTCACTTCACTGGTGGTTGCCATCTTCAAACGGTTGTACTTTAAAAATTATAAATCCTACACAGAAGAGCTTTATATTGTGAAAATCACAAAACCCAGACCTACATTTTGATGCATAGTATGTCTCTGAAATATTAAAAATGAAGGCACAGTCACAGTTTAGAGACTGCCCTTCAAATTTGAGGTGGCTAGAGTGGAGTTTCAATGAATGTCAATGGGCGGCGTGAGTTGCAATAAATGGTCATATTGTGAAAACTATCAGGACTATGGCTTAGCTGTGGACATTTTTAGTGGCAGCAGGGATAGCTGAACGTTTTGATATAAGATTTGTGTAGGTGGGCTTGAAAATGAGGGAGTGATGGCAGTTTAGAAATCATGTCCTGATTTTTCAGCTCACACTCTAGCTTTTGTCAGCTCCCACTCTAGTTTTGAACATTCCGCCATTCATTCCTATGGGACCAATTTCACCACAAAAACGCTGATATTTCGTGAACCATTCGGCGAAACGTTCCACAAAGTAATAGCACACCAATCGGGAACAATCCGCACGTTTCGGTATATTACTGTCTATGTAGTGTAAAAATTGTGGGAGGGGTTAGGGTGGTAAATTTGGCTATAATAATAAGAATATATATGTGAGATAACAGTAAGTGGTCTGCCATGCAAGAACACTTAAATTAAATGCTGGCTCAGAGATGACACAATCATGTAAATCGTGGTGTCTCTGCAGTTCTTGGCAGTGTTCACAAAGGTCTGATACAGATCAGTACCTGCTGCAGCCTCTGATTGCTACAGAGTTACAATGTAACAGTCTGATCACTAGGAGACAGGAAATGCTTCCTCCTGCCTGCAGAACACCAATGACAACATCCAACCGTAAGTAAAGTCACTGCACTGGAGCTCAAGGATGGAGGCTATTTGGATCCATTACCAATGCCATCTTGTCCGCTTCCATGTGGATTTTAAAACATGCACTCTTCAGGCAATTCACAGCATAGCTGTAAGCCATGCTGGTTGGAAAGTGTCTTGAAGCACTCCCTGCACTGTTTACATGTGGTATATATGAAATATTTATATGCACTCACCTTGTTACAATGTTCCAGTGCCTGCCTATACTCAACCAGCTTCAGGTAACAGGCAGCCAGGTTCAGGAATGCCGCCAAAAGCAGGGATTTTGATTTTGCGCTCTCTTCATCTGACAACCCACTCTCGTGTTCCAGCCACTGAACAATCTTCTTGTACTGGATGACAGCTTGGCGGAACTTCCCTGCCTGAGATGGAGTTTAAAATTAAGTACATGAACAACATTTTATTTGCACATTGCATTAGGCAAAATAAAGAATGTTTTCAAGGTTGGCATGGTATTACAGTCAACCCACCGAATACCTAAAGGTTTCCTTGCACAGAAATATGCAGCTTGTAATTTATTTTTTTAAAAACGGAACTCCTTCACCAGTAAAAGAACTGTTGCATTTGTGATTACCTCTATGCATGGATAATTGGTCTTTTACTCAATATTATAGCATTTTACTTTAGCAAACTTTAAATATTATTGCTGAATTAGGGCCTATGCAGTTAATGGATCTTATCTCAGTAATCCTTCTGCATTCCCTGACATAGGTATACCTGCTAGAAGAGACATGTATATAGGAAAATGTGAAATTCAGTCAAAATCTATTTTTGTGTAAATGTTACAATATACACACAAACACACTATATAAAACAAACTGTAAAGAATCTGTTATGATGCCTGTTGTCTGTTACAGCCAAAGCTCAAGATATAAGTTGCTAAAAATTCAATGGCAGCCAGTCATGTGATCAAAAACCAAAGCATTTGGGCATGTGATTTCTACAAGTTTAAAGGGTTAGCTGATCTAAAATCTAATTTTCGTTGATAACCTTTGCAGTAAATGACCCTAAAATGTGTGTTCACTGAAAATAAAGTACAGCGCTCTATAGAGAGCTATTAAAGTGGTTGTAAAGGCTTTTTTTTTTTAAATAACAAAACATGTCATGCTTACCTGCTGTGTGCAGTGGTTATGAAAAGAGCAGCCTGGATCCTCGTCGTCTTGGGTCCCCTGCTGGCTCTCCTAGCCCCTCCCTCCTGTCTGGTGCCCCCACAGCAAGCAGCTTGCTATTGGGGCACCCGTGCATGTGCACTCCCCAGCCACTGCTGTCCGTTCACAAATGGAGCTGCGGCTTGGCCCCGCCCCTTTCTCTCTTCTTATTGGGTACTGGCTGTGATTGACAGCAGTGGGAGCCTTTACAACCAATTTAACAAAGTTTACAATGATATATTTCTGTGTTCTCATACTTTTTGTAAGACTTGATACACTGGACCCATAATGAAAAAGTCTTATTTTTGACACCTACCTTGAAATATTGTGTTCCTCTTTCCTTGACCAGAACTCCCTGCTCCAACTTTTCATCAGTATTCATCTCCCATGATTCTTTGGCCTGATTAGGAAAAAGATAGCAATATAACATTCATTTCTTACAATGTTGTGTGTAATACTAACAGCAAGCAAAGCCCGGGAACAACCCCAACCCCATACACATTGCCCAGGGACATTTCCCTGACATGCACCACCTGGGGACAATGCTCCCCAAAGATGTACTCTCCGAGGACAACACTCCCCCAGAGAAAAATATCCAACGCTCACCGCCCAAGGATGACACTCGATCAACACACATCAACACTCCTCCAGTACACGCCGCTCAGAAAAAACACTCCCCTGGGACACTCAGCAACAATCATCCAGCCAGCACTGCCCAAAGACCCCCATAGCACATACCACCCAGGCACAACAGCACTCACCCAGCATGCACCAGCCGAGGTCAACACTCAACCAGCATATATATTAACACTCCCCCAACATATACTGCCTGAGAAGGACACTTGCCCAGCACGCCCGATAACATTCACTCAGCACGCACAGCTCGAGGACAATACTCACCTTCTCAAAGCTTTTCAGTTTGATTTCATACTTCAGCTCGGCATTGGGTGGGATTTGAAACGGCTCATAGCCTGTACTGTCAAAACCGTATCTGTAACAGAATGATGCATTGATCAGTGTGATGACATTCCACAAGATGAATAATGTTCAGAACAATAAACAGAATAATAGAGAGGGAAATGTGTCTTATTATACTTTTTCCCCCACACAGAACAAGTTTCCAAACTACTCAATGGAGCTGAATTACATTTTTATCTGCAGCCTTGAATTGGGCTTCAAATCGATTTTTTTATATATGATAGACAGAAAAGGTAGGAAATGGGGGAGGGACATTTTTAAGAGTAGTTAAGGATAAGCAGGAATTCCACTTGAAAAAGAAGGGGTAAGGTAAATGGAAATAGCACTTCTCGTGAAGATGTCTTTAGAGTGAAGCAAGAAGAGATGCTATCCTGGTTGATCTGCCTGCCCGCCAATGTACATAAAAAAAAAAGTGAGCATGGTGCAGTTCTTGGATATAACAGTGAAAAGCAAAAAGCGGTAACTTGAACAAAATGAAACCAGTCTCTTAAAAATACCATATCTACCTTGTGCTAGGCTAGGCAACCTTAGATGCCTAAAATGTATTTTATTTCTGGGGCTTGGTGATTGACCATTTGCTTATTTCTGGGGAGACAGTTAATATGAAACATGCTCCCCAGTACCAGAAAATGCAGGAATTTTCAAATATCACCAGCAGGAGTCAGTACCATAGGTACATATAGGTTCTGGAATGTCTAGTGCAGGATGGGTGGGTTTGGGATTTAAAGACAGATTTGCTTTAAAATGATAAGTTCACCTTTTAGTAAAAAAAAAATAAATGCACATTTTTTTGCAGATAAAAAAATGTGCATTTATTCATTTTATTCATTTTATCTGCACGAGCCTGTAATGCATTGCACCAGTGATCAGCAGATGCCATGCAGGTTTCCTGCAGATCTGTCAGAATATCTGCTTGCTTGTATGGGATGTACGAGCAAGCAAATATACTGACAGGAAGAATCAAGGAACTACCAAGGCGCTCCACAGCACCGTGGTAGTTCATTGAGGACTACAAGCTGACAGCTGCTAAGGCTGCCGGGACTTGTAGTCTCTCATTCACAGAATGCTGTAAATAAGTGACGTGGCTGGGTGGGCAGAGCCTCGCACAGCCATTTTTTTTTTTTATAATTTGCCAGCTAGCGGGGGGAGGTGCAGTCAGATCTTAGCATGTTACATGTTACACCCTGAATATGGGTGTAACATGTAACGAAAGGTGAACTTATCCTTCAATGTTCAAGACCATGAAGATTATATTGTACAACTTCACAGATAAAGGATGCTGATTATTTTCTCATGTCTCAATCACTGGCAAGACCCTCAGATCAGGATAATTGGTGCCATAAGGTTTAATCTAGAACCTAGTAGGACACAGTTTGTAACAACCATCACATTGGAACAGTCAACCTACTTTGGTTTCAGGTAGAGCACAGCTTCTTCTCCTTTCTCCATCTGCTGCAATGCAGTTTCCACTCCAGGGGGAATCCTGAGGCTCTCTCCTTCCCCAACTTCAAACTGCAGCTCCCGTTCATCAAACACGTGCCCATTGTGGGTTCCTTGCAGCTTCACTGTATGAAAAAAGCAGAGAGCCAGGTTATGATATGGTCCTCAACCAGACTGGAAACTCTATTAAGACATGTCTAATATGCTTATGCTAATCAAAGAACAAATGCGGCTAAAACAAATATTTCAGTTTCATTTGGGCAATGGTGAGTGAAGTCACCTGTTTTTTTTACAGGAATACACTGCTGGTGAGACCCAGTAGTTCATGTCCCCACCACCTCTCACAAAATTATAATGAAGGTGTCACACTCTAAACTGAAATTCTGCCTTTTGTTTATTCTTCAGTAGGGGGGGATCTATCAGGATAGTGCACAGCCATCCAGAACAGTGTGCCCGAGCTGACAGAGAGGAGGACTGTTGGTAAACAAAGCAGTCCTCCTCCCCGTTGGAGATGCTTGGTAATCACTGGGTGCCAGTGGGGAATCACCAGCTGGGACCTGGTGACTGTCAGCCATGGTTGGCGGCACGGGTAGGGCACGCGTGATCAGCGACTTATAGCGGTACTGCAGCGGGTATTCTGACACTGGGGGGAACTGACTTGGTGTCACTTAAAAAAGCACTGACACTGTACTAATGACACTGGACAACAAGCAGTTAACATGAGGGGCGATCAAAAGGTTAACTGTGTGCTGGGAGTGTTTTACTAGGGGGCGGTGTGTTTGTGCTTCACTGTAAGCACACTTCTCAGGATGGCTGTGTTGTGCACAGCCATCCAGAGCAGTGTGTCCAAGCCGACAGAGAAGAGGACTGGTAGTAAACAAAGCAATCCTCCTCCCCATCGGAGATGCTCGGTAATCACTGGGCGCCAGTGAGGAATCACTGGCCGGGACCTGGTGACTGACAGCCGCGGTTGGCAGCGCAGGTAGGGCGTGCATGCGACTCGCACACACCCCCTACCTGGAAATACAAAATCACGTATATATATGTGATTTTGTGCACCCCTGCTGCCTTGTAGCAGTATATCTGCTTTAGGGTGGTCGGGATGTGGTTAAAGACATGTTAAACATTCCTACCTGCACCTTGTGTTTTTCATCTGTATAAGATGTGCATGTATCATGTCGTTTCATGTCATTTGTTGCCCTATACGCACAGCCTATAGTAGAGGAAATCCTCACATTCCTGTGTCCGTAGTTTCAGTTTGTGTTGAAACATGAGACATGAGGCATGTGGCATGGCACTGCACAGGTTAATGCCTGACCTTTGTCTGTAGTGTGCGACCTGACACTTCCTGTGAACATATCTACATATATTTCCTTTTTTATTTTTTTTTTGTCTATAGACTCCATACAAAATAAAATAACTTTATGCAAAAGAATAGCCAAAAGAAAGCCTATGTTTCTCCCAAAAATGTATGTATTAGGTTGTCATTGTTAGTAATGTAAAGTTATCACCTAATAAAAAGGCCTATAGTGGAAATGTAAAAATTGCCGTGTTGCACAGGTAGAGGGCTGAAGTAATTAAAAAAGGCCATGTGGACACTGCAACGAGATTCCCTTTTAAGCAGGATCTCCCATCACTTACATTCCACCACGGAGCCCTCATTGGGTTTGGAATATCCTTCGCCCTTCACTCGAATTCTACGAATAATACCGCCATCTTCTTCTGTTGACAGATCTTCACCTTGGAAGTCAAAAAGCTCAATCTGGAGGACAAAAAGTTATACAGAATATAAGTATGAAAACTCAAAAAATGTTCACTGATAGAAAAACTTGAGATGTCTCTCATACCTCAAAGATGAGAGTAGCATTTGGTGGAATTTTGGGAGGACTCCCTGATGCTCCATAGGCATACTCTGGCTTACAGGTAACCTGACAGATCTCTCCAACCTTCATGGTGGCCACAGCAATGTCCCACGCTTTAATCACCTGACCTGTACAGAGAAGATATGAACTTACAGCTGTAGATTATCATTACTGAATACCAGCTACTGAAAGCAAAATCACCATAAAATCATAGTTTTAGGTCTAGGACTTCCCCTTACGTCCTGTTCCAGAGACACAACAGGAAGTGAGAGGAAATCTCTAAAAAGTGAGTTAGAATTCCCTCTTAGAGTTCGTCACACCACAATGCAAATACAAACTCACAGAAAACACAAGTCCATTGACATGCTTTTTTTAATTGAATGCACTGCAGTTTACTGAGTGTTAAACTGCGTTTTTTTTCTGTGTAGCGAGTGTAGTCACCCTAGGACAGAATGTTACTGGCAGGATCACCAGGGTTAAAAAAAAAAAGGGAGGAAAATAAATAATGCAGCAACCACATCAATGACTGACACTTTCTAAGCACTGGAACCACAACATGTGCCCCCCCCCTAAAAAAAAAAAAAAACATGGTATAGGCTGTGCACAGTCCTCCACATGACCCTGCTTGGCCTTTGTGATAACCAGGTGGGGGGTATCCCTTGCTCCCTAACATTTGGCAGTCCTGGAGTTTTGATGACAAATGGAGGTATCAGGGGAAGCAAGGCTAAAATACTAATTGTCTATTAGAGGAGCTTCCAATTAAGTGCACAGCCTGCTACTTTGCCTAGTCTCAGCAAAGAAAAGGCTCTTTTTAACCCACTGGCATCAAATCAAAGATCAGCGTTGAATAGACAAACCCTTTATATCCTATATGGGACACACAAAGCAAAGATATAAAAAATTATACTAGAGCCACACTGTATGATGATGACATTTTGATTGCACCTTCCAAATATGGTGGGCATCCTGGTATTTGTAGTTCCAGATCTTCCTTACAAAAAAAAAAAAAAAAAAAAAAAACCCCCCCCCCCAAAAAAAAACAAAAAACCACACAATGTGGATTCAATGTGTAATTGACTAGTGATCGGTCTTGGGAGTTGACATCACCTGACATGCAGAATGATTACTACTAATCTGGCCAACCATCTATCGACACCCTTTGGTGGATGAAGACAGTTGGACAGATCCCTTTTAAAGTGGGAAAATCAAAAGTAATCCCATCATACAGTATATGATGTAACACATATGCTGGAGACTATGCACAATCTTGGCATTAAAACATTACCGCCAGATGGAGCTGGTATTCAGAAGGTGGATTGAAGACCGTACCTTTCCCCAGGTCAAAGGTGAACTTGTCCTTTCTGTCTCTGCTGGAGTCAAACTTGGTCCCATCAGGCAGCCAGCCAGTGTAGTGGACGCTGACTTTATCCCCAATCATCGGATTCTCTGTCCCGCTGCCTTCTTTCTTCATTTGCTGCAGAAAGAAAAACAAGGGCAAAAAAAAAAAAAAATTATCCCTTGCAGTGGGGCTGTGCTCATCCGACGTCATCAAGACCAGAGCGCTGTCCATATCCCACCATTGGAACAAGGGGGAGCTCTATCTACCAGGGGAAGCATCAGGGCTGAGGGTTCCTTAGAGGAGTACCGAGGCAGGGTGCTGTGATGGTTTCAGGAAGTTATTTACAGCACCCTGCTGGCCCTTCCCACCTGTCATGATCAGCCTGCACTGCATAGAGAATCACAGAGATCCAGTGATCACATCACTGGGACTAAAATAAGGTATGTATGTATTAAAAGAAAAAACCAGAATGTTGATGAGGGTAAAAAAAAGTAGTAACCAGGGAAGGAAAAATATAAGTGGATTAAACGTCAGTTTTCAAAGAATGTTCTTTACAACTTTATGCACGGTTTGTTCAGAACGCAAGGTACTACAACAAAAAGATGATAAAGATAAGTACAACACACTGATCTTATGTATAGATCCCTTTCCCTGTCATCTATCACAATTATTTATTTTCCTGCCAGGTTGCATGAGCTCAGCAATTTTCTTTGTCTTAGTCACCTGATCCTTTTGGCTCCTCCTCTCAGTCCTACCTAACAATAAGGTCACAGTACAACAGCTTGGGGGCGTGGCCCATTTCTGGGCGTCACTGCATATAGTAAGACGATCTAGAAGTGTCTGACGTCCTGAGAGCAGACGCCCACAGATCTCCATTATCATTTTAATTAAATCTATAAAAAAGAAAAAGTGCAAACGTACCCAACTTTGCAACGTATATAGAGATATAGGGACAGGACGTTAAAATCAACGACAATAATATTTTAGATTACATAATATACAGACTGAACAAAAGCTGAAATTTGAGCTCTCCTGTTTAAAAGGCATAATTGCCTTTTGCAAAAATGTAATAAACGCACACACATTAATACAATAAAAAACGTGCACTTATTACAATTGCACTAAATCCTGCAAAAAATTGCAAGTGCGATCATTGCATTAGGTTCCTGCACTGTTCGCCCCCCAGTCCCAGATCTGTATGTAGGTGTAGACCTTCTGTCATTTATCTGAAGTATTTATATAGAGCTGACAATTTACATATATATTGTACATTCATATGTACAGTCCCTAGCCCTCAAGGTGCTTACAATCTAAGGTCCCCAATTCACATTCATACATACACACAAATAGCCTAGGTTCACATATGTGTGGGTCAGGAATTTGTGCATAATCGTACACGGTCCCAACCAACGAGTAAAAACGTGCTGCCCTTTAGCAAATGCACGGGGGGGTGCCAAATATGCGACATGGTTTTGCGTCATGTCTGTTTTAAAAGAAGATTTGGGGACTTCTTTCCTTGAGAGGACAGTAGCCTGTTGAAATGAATGTACCCAAGACAAGCACGCACAAATGAGCATGTGCAGAACGCAAACATGTAAACCTAGGTTTAGACAGGAGCCAATTAAGCTACCAGCATTGCTTTTGAGTGTGGAATGAAACCAGAGCACCTGGAGGAAACCCACACAGGCACAGAGAGAACATGCAAACTCCACACAGGAGGTGTCTTGTTTGGGATGCAAACAGACGACCCTAGTCCCCCATGCAGAGGCACTTAGCCATGCCACGTGGCTAGGGAAAGTAAACAACAGGCTACAAGTGCGGGGACATCACCACCCTGCTGCTAGCATTAAATCTGTGAGCCCCTCCGCCACAGAGGCAGATGGAACTTGTAGTCTTTCCATTCATAGGTACCTGTAAATGGATGGTGTAGCCATGCAGGCTGAGCCACGTTAAATTCAAACATCAACAGATGTCTGCAGGGAGAAGCTTCAATAATTTAGGTTAGTGGTTGTGGTGGGCGGTGGTTTTGCCTCATGACGTTATTGCGTCAGACACGAGACACATGACGTCATTGCGTTGCATGAGACACATGACGTCATTGCGTCAGACACATGAGTTTTTCTGCATACATTCTGAAAGGGCACAAAGAAAACAATTGTACTCAAGGGCCTTGTTCACATCATACGTGCATAGAAACTAATAAAAAAAAAAAGCACAGATTTCACTTGCAGAGACACAAGTTTACATACGGTTTCTTTTCTTTTAGAAATCTGTTTATTTTGGTTTTAAAGTAGGATACAGAAAAAGAAACCACTCTGGTGATGCAGCCCACACAAGGGGAGTACCAGTCAGCGAAAGCAAAAAAAAGAAAAAGTGGAGAGGCACATAGTGCGAAAATAATAAAAGTTAACAAACAATCCCTCAACAATTACAGCTTGCATGTGTAGGTGTGTGGCTTGCACCAAAAATAAGAATGCGTAATATACCAATTCCGTTCAGCAGAGCAGATTCCCAGATATCTATAGGGCCATCAAAGTAAATGTACTACCCTTAATGTGAGGTTAACAGTAAAATAGAAAACATCAGGTTTAAAGTGAATCAGGCATTGAAGCATTGGTAGCATCTCCCATCCACCTCGCCCACACCCTATTACATTTTTTAGGACAGCTCCTGTTGGAATTTGTGTCTTTGTACAAGGGTAGGGTGGAGTTCACTAGTTGCCAGAATTGGGTTCCAAGACAAGGTAATTGCCTTTCTAGCATAAAACAGAAGTAACCCAAATAGGGTCCTATAGTGGGGACAAGGTCATCTACAAGTCCCAGCAAAACAAATTCTAGGAGAAGGGCAAATGAGGTGCCAGCCACTGCATTAGATATGTTGACAACTGCTCCCCAATACTGTGAGATAGCTGGATAGTCCCAAAAGATGTGTAGAAAATCTCCCAGTTGGTGGGAACATCTCCAACATCCATGGAGGAGGCTGGGTTTAGCTTGTGGAGGCAAAATAAAATTAGGTCCCTTTCAGACAGGGCCGGCTGGTCAGCGGTCACTTGCTCAGCGAGGGATCTCTTAGTTGATGAAGATGAAACGCTGACTGAACCAAGGGAGCTTATAGTCTAATGACCCGGTCACATGTAAAGGCCCTACCACAGTCATACCCATTGTAGGCTCAATATGGGTTATTACCTCACCAGTACCTTCTAGAATGTGCGACAAAGCCAGGAAGAATCCTACAAAAACAGAGGGACAATGTACAAGGCTGACCAACAAACTATCAGACTGTCACCATGAACTTTTTTCTAGATATACTGTAACTCTGCAAAATTTTCCAGAAAGATCTAAGCCCTGGATGGGCAGCCAGTTTCTCTCATGCTACTGAACTACACACACCAACATTTATTGCTGTTCACTATAAGTGGGAGAATGCTGGTTTTCATTACTCAACCAATGCATAACTGACCCATGTGCAGACCTGATCATCTATATGGAGGCCTTCGGCAAACCCGCCTCTGAATAAGTCACAGATATGGAAGAATTACTTCAAAGAATACAATTATTTTTGCATTCTCTTCAACATTACTAGGAATGCCAAACATTTGAATCACGCTAACATTTGGATATATTTGGGGTAGACGACTTGGCCAGGTATGGTGCATCAGATATTCTTCATTTTGGTTGATTTCCGTGCCTACTAGTCTTTAAAAGTGAAGTATGGCAAAAGCTTTTTCTGGCCATACTTCTTTTCTGGGTCACAGGAGTGCACTTGCTTGTGTCAAAGAGCTGACCCAAGCTCTGGAAGGATCCCAACTATATTATTGTCAGAACCCACCAGGATGCCTGATCAACAGCTGGCTCAGCCTCTCAGCTCACTGCTGGGAGCCTGAGTCAGCAGCGCCCAGTCCCTCTCCAGTCCAGAGCTCCAGTGATTGCTGGAGGAGGAGAGCGGTGACTGACAGTCACCGCTCTCCATTCCAAGCAGACCGAGAACTGAGCCAAATTGAGAGGACAAATGCGGGATAACTAATGCTGCAGCATGGAGGAGAGTATGTACCGTATGTTTATTCTTTTTGTTCTTCTTTAAAGCTAATCTCCACCTTTCAATATACTTTACATAGTGCTTCACACGATCACAGTTTAACCCAAACAAACCATGCCCCCCACTAACCTGTGAGGCCGCTGGATGTGCAGTATAAACTGTATGTAGCTGTGGCTACATACAGCATAACTCACTGTATTCTGGGTTCGAGCTGAGACTTCCAGTCTTAGACCTGGAACACAGTAGAATCTATCACAGTGGCGTTGAAACACTCAGAGTAAGCAATGTATTCTATCAGTGAATACAAAGCTTCCTCTGACTGGCTAAGTCAAAGGTTGTGGCATCATCAGCCTGCCTCTCTGACTCAGCCAGTCAGAGGAAGCTTTGTATTCATTGATTCGAATACATTGCTTACGCTGAATGGCTGAGTGCCGCTGTGATAGACTCTTCTGTGTTCTGGGTCTAAGACTGGAAGTCTCGGCTCGAACCCGGAACACAGTGCGGTATGCTGTATGTGGCCACAGCTACATTGAGTTTATACCGTACATCCAGCGGCCTCACAGGTTAGTGGTGGACATAGTTTGTTTGGGCCAAACTGTAAAGTATATAAAATGGTGGAGATTAGCTTTAAAGTGGTAGCAAAGTCTGTTTTTTTACTTGTAACTATAATAAGGCTTACCTGTAGGCACTGTAACTATCTCCTCAAAGTGCACTGTTTAAGAGATATTTACCTGTGTAGAGCACCAGCGCATTCGCTCAGAAGGAACGGCATGCCCATGCCGTTCCTTCAGAGTTGAGTGCCGTAAAAAGTGACTCCCGTGTACATGAGCGGGAGTGACATCATTGCGGCTCAGCCATTCAAGCTTCCGGAGCCCGCAAACTCGGAAGAAGGACCGAGTAAAGATGGAAGCCCTGTCAGCGTGATAGCACGCCGCTGAAGGGCTTCGTTTTAAGGTGAGTTTCACATAATGTGCTACCTACCCAAAATGTTATTTTTATTCCATGGTAACTGTTCTGCGTGTAATTAAATACTTACAAGTCCATGGAGTCCAGTGTTGTCCTTCCACTCTGCTTTGGTGGCACCATCTTGGACCAATATCCTGCACATGCCCAGACACAACATGGGTCTCTGCCATGTCTGACTGCGCAAAATCTTACAAACCCAATGTGTTTCTCTTTCTGGTCCTGTAACCAGCTGCTTTCTATGCATGTGTGTGTGTTGGGAAGGGGGGGGGGTGTAACTTGCAGGACACGTCAACTTTTCCAAGGCAAGGTCTGAAGATGTAAAAAAATAAAAACTTAAAAAAAATGTTCAATGGTGCAAGATGGCCATACTCCGAACCTAGCAATAACAATTGGCTCAGTACTCTAGGAAAAAAATATAGCAGTTCCAGACCTGGCAACAACTACTGGCCCATAGCACAAGGGTCCCCATGTACTGGTTCCAGACCTGGCAATAACTACTGGCCCATTACACAAGGGGCACCACGTACTGGTTCTAGATCTGGCATTAACTACTGGCCTATAGCACAAGGCTCCCCATGTACTGGTTCCAGATCTGGCAATAACTACTTGCCCATTACACAAGGGTCCCCACGTGCTGGTTCCAGACCTAGCAATAACTACTGGCCCATTACACAAGGGGTAGCACAATCTGTTTCCAAACCTAGAAATGACTACTGGCCCATGGAACAAGGGTCCCCACATACTGGTTCAAGACCTGGCAATAACTACTGGCCCATTGCACAAGAGGCAGCATGTACTGGTTCCAGATCTAGCAGTATTTGCTGGCCCATTGCACAAGGGTCCCCACATACTGGTTCAAGACCTGGCAATAACTACTGGCCCATTGCACAAGAGGCAGCATGTACTGGTTCCAGATCTAGCAGTAATTATTGACCCATTGTACAAGGGTCCCCATGAACTGGTTCAAGACCTGGCAATAGCTACTGGCCCATTGCCCAAGAGGCAGCATGTACTGGTTCCAGACCTAGCAGTGACTACTGGCCCATTGCACAAGAGTCCTCACGTACTGGTTCAAGACCTGGCAATAATTACTGCCCGTTGCACAAGAGGCAGCATGTACTGGTTCTAGACCTAGCAGTAACTACTGGCCTATTGCACAAGGGTCCTCACGTGCAGGTTTCATACCTGACAATAAGTACTGGCCCGTTGCTCAAGGATACGCAATTGCTGGTTCCAGACCTGGAAATACAGGCCAGTTGCACAAGGAAGCTCTTGTCCTGGCTTCAAACCTGGCAATAACTACAAGCCCACTGAATCTGTTTAATTTATATCCCAGAAGGAAGCCAGATCATAGGCCTGGTCGATTATTGTACCTATAGTTATCTGATCTTCATCTACATTTCATAGTAGTTTCCATACCAGGGCACACCCCCCACTGTGCAAGCGAAGCAATTCATACAGCAAACACATCAGCAGGGTGTGCAGTTATAGGAAAAAAATACATTGGGTCCATTTATAAAAACTACACTTAAGCACTAGCCCATTGGACTTCAGAAACATAACCCCCCCCCCCTTTTTTTTTCTTTTTATCTTCTGCCTCAAAGTTTGCACTTTGCAGACCAGGCTCCAGCACAGGGCATGCAATCACACACAAGGCAAGGATTACTCGTTACTTTACCTTTAGCACACCCTGATCACCCTTTGGGCTGATGTCCATCCCCTCCACGGGGATCTCCTGGGGTCCCTGCTCTGTCTTCATCTCTTCCGCTGTCATTGTGATCTCCCACAGGTAAACCTAAGGTGCGAATATCTGTGAGTACTCTCAAGGTTCTCTGGGTGATGCAGGTTCTGGATCTGGAAATACAACTGCCTTTCAGCTCTGGTTCTCAGGGTGCTAGAGGTTCAGGATTACTGGGTGCTGCAGATTTTCAGCTGTGGATCTGTGGGTGCAGATATTTCCCAGCTGTAGATCTGTGGGTACAGCAGGATCTCAGCTGTGGGTGTGGGTATTCCCCAGCTCTGGATTTGTGGGTGCAGTGGGCTCTGAATCTGTGGGTGCAGATGGCTCCCTGCTTTGGATCTGTGGGTGCAGTGAGCTCTGGATCTGTGGGTGCAGTGAGCTCTTGATCTGTGGGTGCAGCAGGATCTCAGCTCTGGCTCTGTGGGTGCAGGTGACTCAGGATCTGTGAGTGCAGATGGCTTCCTTCTCTAGATCTGTGGGTGCAGCAGGATCTCAGCTCTGGCTCTGCGAGTGCAGATGTCTCCCAGCTCTGGATCTGTGGGTGCAGCAGCAAACTCTGGTTTCCCAGCTCTGGATCTGTGGGTGCAGATGTCTCCCAGCTCTGGATCTGTGGGTGCAGATGTCTCCCTGCTCTGGATCTGTGGGTGCAGATGTCTCCCAGCTCTGGGATCTGTGGGTGCAGATGTTTCCCTGCTCTGGCTCTGTGGGTGCAGATGTCTCCCTGCTCTGGATCTGTGGGTGCAGATGTCTCTCTGCTCTGGATCTGTGGGTGCAGATGTCTCTCTGCTCTGGATTTGTGGGTGCAGCAGGATCTCAGCTCTGGCTCTGCGAGTGCAGATGTCTCCCAGCTCTGGATCTATGGGTGCAGACGTCTCCCTGCTGTGGATTTGTGGGTGCAGACGTCTCCCTGCTCTGGATTTGTGGGTGCAGATGTCTCCCTGCCCTGGATCTGTGGGTGCAGCAGGATCTCAGTTCTGGCTCTGTGGGTGCAGATGTCTCCCAACTCTGGATCTGTGGGTGCAGACGTCTCCCAGCTCTGGATCTGTGGGTGCAGATGTCTCCCAACTCTGGATCTGTGGGTGCAGACGTCTCCCTGCTCTGGATCTGTGGGTGCAGCAGGATCTTAGTGCAAGTGCAGAGTCTCCCTCTGGATCTGTGGGTGCAGCAGGATCTCAGTTCTGGATCTGTTGGTGCAGACGTCTCCCAGCCCTGGATCTGTGGGTGCAGCAATATGTCAGTTCAGCAGGTCAGGCTGTAGCATGCTCTGCATAGCTCGCACAATGTTGTCCATGCACAGATCTGGCTGTGAGTTCTGTAGGCCGGAAAGGCTCTGCCAGCTCTGGGTCCCTCCCCCCTGCACTTGTCAGCACTGGGAGGAGGAAACCTTCAAGAGATACTAGAAGTTTCTAATAAGAAGAGGAGTCACCCTGTAACTGAATATCAACAATGGGAAGATGCTGGAAGGAGGGGGTGAGGCTCAGTACAGCCCCACAGACACTGACAGCAATACACAGAGCATGCCCACTGATTGTACCTTACAAAACTCTTTCTCCATATAATATTTATAAAACACAAAGCATATCGACTGATTGTAATACATAGTACCCTACACAGTATCTGTATAATAGGTGTCATACGCAGAGCACACTGATTGTAATATAGAGTACCCTATACAGTATCTGTATAATAGGTGTCATACACAGAGCACACTGATTGTGATACACAGCACCTTAGACAGTATCTGTATAATAGGTGTCATACGCAGAGCGCAATGATTGTAATACACAGTACCCTATACAGTATCTGTATAATAGGTGTCATACGCAGAGCACACTGATTGTAATATACAGTACCCTATACAGTATCTGTATAATAGGTGTCATACGCAGAGCACACTGATTGTAATACACAGTACCCTACACAGTATCTGTATAATAGGTGTCATACGCAGAGCACACTGATTGTAATACACAGTACCCTACACAGTATCTGTATAATAGGTGTCATACGCAGAGCACACTGATTGTAATATAGAGTACCCTACCTTTGTATCCAGCCACTGATTGTAATATACAGTACCCCACACCAACATCCTTATAGTGAGAGTATACACAGAGCATATCCACTCATTTTAATACACAGTACCCTACCTCCATATACTGCTATAATACCATGTATTGTTCAAAGCATGCTGTATACTAGGGACTCTATGAAACATTTCCTTTGCAAATGTGTAAACATTCATGCAAGTGTAACAAATAATATTTTCAATGTTAGTTTTCCTTTTTGCCTTTTGAAACATTTCTGAACATTCAGTCAGGCTCGACCATGAGAGTTATTCATCAATAGAGAAAATAGCCTGACACTTATTAGTCCTCATGCACACTGCACGTTTTTACAGCGGCTGTTTTTGGCTTTTTGCCATTTTTTGCTACAGCCAGTAAGCTCCCCAGCATGTTATCTTATGTGTCCATGCACACACAGACTGTAATCAACATTTTTTGGCAGGGACGTTTTTTTGGCTGGAAAAAACCCACAGAACTAGTGGGTTTCTAGAAGAAGTTTTTTAGCTGTAAAAACGCGGTAAATCACGGTTTACAGTGAAGTCGCACGATTTCAAAGTTGGGTGAGATGCCGATTTCAAGTGTGAATTGCAAGACATCTGACACATGTAAATCACACCAAAGTAGTACATGTACTACTTTAGAAATCAGTGTGGCTCCGACCAAGTCGGAACCGCACTGATTTGGCTGCTCTAATAGCGGACAATAGGGTGCAACTTGGCATACCATTTGCAAGTTGCGTGGCATGCAAATCGCATGCCAAGTTGCACCCAATGTGACCGGGGTGTTAACCAGTTTCCTACCGTGCTATAGCCAGAGAACGGCTGCAGTGCGGTTGCCTGGTTCTGGGACGACGCCCATGGATGTCATTCCAAAACACGCTCATCTGCGTGCTCCCTAGCGGCACGCACATGGCGATTGCTGTGTCCAACGGACACAGCTGATCCCTGGATACGGTAAATGGCCAATCACAGCGGTATTTTACCACGTGATTAGCTGTGTCCAATGACACAGCAGATCATTAGGTAAATAAAGTTGCCGGTTATTGGCTGCACTTTCCCCACGCTATCACAGTGTGAGGAAAGTACTGCCGATAAACGGCAATTCTGATGATCAGTGCCCAACAGTGTCGCCAACCTGTGCCACCCACCTGTGGCCATCAGTGCCACCCACCTGTACCCATCAGTGCCACCCACCTGTGCCCTGCAGTGCCGCCATCAGTGCTGACCAGCAGTGTCGCCTCATCAACGCACATCAGTGAAGGAGAAAAATTACCTGTTTGCAAAATTTTATAATAGAAACAAAGAAAATTTTTTTGCTTTTTTTTTATAATAGAAACAAAGAAAATTTTTTTGCTCTTTTTTTGTTTATAGCGCAAAAAATAAAACACCTAGTGGCAAGTAAATATCACCAAAAGAAAGCTCTATTTATGTGAAAAAAAAATGATAAAAATTTTATATGGGTACAGTATTGCATGACCATGAAATTGTCAAAGTGCAAAAGTGCTGAAAGCTGAAAATTGGCCTGGGCAGGAAGGGGGTATAAGTGCCCATTAGGCAAGTGGTTAATTGTGGCAAACCATCGTTTTTGGACATTTTTTTGAGTAAAAAAAAAAATTTGGGGTTTAAAAAATGCAAACGCGGCAAAACGCCGCTAAATGCTAATGCACAGATGCCACAGATTCTCAATTTGATTTAGGCCAAAATGATGGTGGAATTCCTTCATAATGAGCACAGCAGGTGTGAAGACCCAGGAACTGTGTGCAGGGATGCTGTGCAGGTCTGTCCCCTCTCACTGATGTGGGGTACAGGCACATCAACAGCTCCTCTTAGCTTCGGTCAATTGGCTGTGAAGCTCAGACCCTGACTGCAGGTCTGTCCCCTTTGCTTTCTTCCCAAGACTACCCAGATCTGCATCAGTTTGTCCAGAGAAACATTGAAGCTTTCTTCCTCCAGGTGAAAATATTTGTGGGAATCGAACTGTTAGCCTCTATTAACAAGTCTGGTGCTGTGTGCCCCTTTAAGAACTACAATTCCCATCATCCATAGCGTCTGCCCAGCAAGTTCTTTCTGAGGCTTCCATTAACTCCTTCTCTTCCTCCCTCTGAATGGATCCCCACTGCAGGAGAAAGGAGAGCAGGAGTGAGCAGACAACACACACAGCCACAGCACACTCAGCAATGAAACAGAAAAATCCTGGCTGCATTCCCTCTGTCACTGTGCAGCAGGAGGAGAGTGTACCCGGCTACAAGTGCTTCTGGCTGTGGGACAGCATACAGAAAGACAGAATGCAGACAGGCAGAAATGGAAGAGAAGTTGTGCACAGAAAATTAAAAAATGCAAAGAACTCACCTTCGCAGACTAAGAAATATAACAAACAGGAGTTTTGCACCTCTGCATCAGCTAGGCACTTAAAAGATAACTCCACCCTCAGCAACATGTTACACCTGTATTTAGGTTTCAACATGTAACACGGTGCCAAGCACCCCCACCACTCCTTAAGCCACTCATGACAGCATGCGGGCGTTCTTGTCCTTTGCAGCAGCTGTTACTTTTAAAATCGGGGCACCTGTGCTGGGCTCCACAAGTTTATCCAAATCATTCTGAAAACTTGTAGTTCTCAATGTAATATGAGCTCGGTAATAAGCGCCCTTGGAATCCATTGAATCTTTCACCAACTGAAGGCCTGTACAGAGGTACAGGCAGAGAGCTGGGGGAAGAATTTCCAGGAGTCTGGCATTGTACCAGCGATTAGGGCTGCTGACAGAAGCCACGGGGGCCCATACAGCAAACCTGATGGCCCCTGCCCCCCCCCCCCAAAAAAAAACACAGTTTACTAGGGTTAAGTTATGAATGAACACAGGGAGTGATCAGTACTAATCACTCATTGTGTTCATTCAGAAAAGGAAGGGGCAATTATTGGAACCGATCTCCTGTATAGCTCTCTCTGCAGCAGCTGAAAGCCAGCAAG